AGGGTTCAGGGTTTAGGGTGTATAGTGTTGTTCTGCGTGCTTTCGGGAAACATAAGAATGTGGTCTGCCATGAGTCTCTGCCCTGTCTCTCTCTCTTGAGATCCCTGCGGTGCGACTTGGTGAGCTGGCAGGTGGGAAAAACACCCGAAACCCTGGGTCCTTATAATAAGGATCCTACTATTTGGGGTACTATGTTGTTAGGCTCCCCTATTTTCGGCAACCCCCATATTTCTTTTCAAACACACCCGACACCCTGACCGACTCCTCGAGGCTTTGCGCGCCGTACGCCGAGGCTTGGCAAGGGCACGGCTCCGGCCGGCACGCTTGGGGCGCGGCGAAAGCCGCATGTCGGAAGCTTTAGCGTTTATGGGTTTGGGCACTGCTTCGGGAGTAGTGAGTAGTGGGGAGAAGGCATGCGAGAGGAACCCCTTCAAGCGGTGCGGGTGGCAAATGGGGTCCAGTACGGATTATGGTTCCTCTCAGGCACAGCTGCTTTAAACACCAACTCTTGCAGCTTTCGATCAACTGTCGGGTTGAGGATGTACCCAAAGGCCTTGTGGTTTGTCTTAATGAGCTTGATGGTCTGTTGTTCTGGTGTTGGAAGCTGGAACTTGTTGCATTTTCTCATTCGTGTATGTAGGAATGTAGAGATTGTTATGAAAGGATCCTGGTGGCTGACTTGTGCTTCCGAGCTGTGAGTTTCTTCCTCAGACGTCTGGGCCTGCGGCCCGTCGGTGCCCCTCTTGCTGTAAGGACCCCAGAGGACGCGTTGAGGTTTGAGCTTGTGCGGTGTTGCCCCTTGGACAACCCAAGATGGCACCGACGACTGTACCGATCGAAGAACTTTGGAACCCAGTCAACCCTAAACCCTAAACCCTAAACCTCTTACTTCTAAACACTAAACCCCAAACCCCTAAACCCCTAAACCCTTAAAGAGGAAACCGAAGCCCCAAACCGTCTCTAAGACCCCAACATGTCACAATGCTAACCTTACTCAAGCTCTTGAACCGTAACGGAAACGCAAGCCCCCTAGGCCCTAGATCTCTACATCCTCAACCCTCAACCCTAAACCCTAAACCCTAAACCCTAAACCCTACCCCCGATGCTACTCGTATTCCTTAGCCGAGGCGTCTGGAGCAGCTCAGCCGTTCGTCCGGGACCAACTCTTCCATTGTCGGGTTTAGGTTAGAGGGGTTAGGGTTTAGGGTTTAGGGTTTGAAGAAGTGTTTGCAATCTGGGGTAGCCGTGTGGCACGAGTCCACGGCACAGTCGGCGCCTCGGTTCCTGGCATATGCGTAGTCCAGGTGTTAAAAAGGGTTTAGTAGGGTCTAGGGGAGGGAGTTACAAAGACCAACATCCCTTGTTACAGTACAGAAGCAACTCTAAATCAGATCAAAGTGCTCAAAGGTGTCTTATGGTTCCAGGTATACACACGGTATATAGCTTACTTCGGGCTTGACCTTAGTTCTGTTTCTTGTTTTCAAGGCTTCACTTCTCAAAAAAGCGGGTCCCTCGTTGGTTCTTCTATTCAGGATCTCTCTCTCTCTCTCTCTCTCTCTCTCTCTCTTTCTGCACGCTGCGCGTCCGAGGTTGAGGGTTGCCCAGCACACGTGAGAGACACTGAATCCGATCTGTACGATGGAAAATCAGAAGCCAGCTTCGGGCTTTGGATTGGCCCACAGCCATCTCTTCTCGGGTTGAAGGTATAGGGCACAAAGCCTTTCGGGAGTCTACCTAGTGAAAGGATGCGGCCCCTATCGCAACCCCTATCCAGCCCGTTGGAACCCAGACCCCCAAAAGGATCTGAAAAATAGATCCCCTAATTAGGGACCCTAACTACTAAAGGGTACTTTATAGGAACCCCCTTAGGGGATCTATTTTTTAGATCCTTTTGGGGGTCTGGGAAGGGATCTTCGTACCTCGTCCATCGTGCGAGCAGCAAAGAAGTCTTCTAAGTCTGACGCTCTCAGCAATCTGGCTGAGATCAAAATATGAAGCCCCCTTCTAGTTGAAGAAACCCTAAACCCTAAACCCTAAACCCTAAACCCTAAACCCTCATTTTGGGTTTGGGGTTTAGGGTTAAGCGCCATTGGGCTCTCTTGGGCTCTCTGGGTAAGCCCTCCTGCCCTTCCAGCCTCCTAGGGCAAACAAAGGAGAGAGCAGACTTTACTTGGGGTTTAGGGTTTAGGGTTTAGGGTTTAGGGTTTAGGGTTTAGGGGGGTTTCCTTGCAGTCAGAAGATCGTGTATCAGGTGTAGCTTAAGTTGGTTTCAGGCTTCTTACACCAAAGCTGAACCCAACACCCTAAAACGCTAGAGTCCACACCCGGCACTGTTGCACAACAAAGCTTCAAATCGCTAAACTGAGGCGGCGACGAGATGACATGGCTCAGCTCACCAAAGACAGCCGATGTGACAGGCCTTCTCGCAAAACCATGGGACGTCTTTAGGGTTTAGGTTTTAGTCTTACACTCAGAGCCCAGCTGCAAAAGAAGGTTTTAGTCTTAGAGCATTCTAGCCCCAGAAAGGGCTTAGACAGGAGCTCAAGGCCACGCTAATTTGCCGCACGGACTTCGCTGCAAGGGATATTACAAGAGACACTACAACGGATACGTATAGGATTCTTTCAAGGTTCTAGGAGGGTTTTACCCATACGCCGCACGCCTGACGCAGCTGACGCTTCGAGACTGCGCGAGATAGAGAGTCGGGATGCTATATCCCTAAACCCTAAACCCTAAACCATAAGCTGAAGTTTCGCAGGTTCAAGGCAGTTACCTTGTTGGTTTGTGGCCAAGTTCGGATCTAGAGGTCTGAATAATGCTGAGTATGTGGCCTCATGGTGTCCAGATAATTATGCTAGGGCATGCCCATGTACCCCCTAAATCCTGTCGAAGGAATTAAGGCACGCACTTTCGATCCTTACAGAAACTTTTGTTAGCAACCCTAACATAACAAGTTCCTAACCCTTGTAAACCTCTAGCCGAGTTCATTAGCAAGTATCTGCATATCAACCCTGGTTTGTCATTCGCTCAGCCATGCAGGAGGCAACACAATGGGACCTTCTTAACTTGTCGTCTTTTTGATCCTTAGGCTCCCCCCCATATGATTATCCGGTGACATACCTCAACGCCCGGCCCTAAACCCTAAACCCCTAAAGTACGAGTGCCCAAAAAGCCCTAAACCCTAAACGCCCTAAGCCCTAAACCCTGCTGGGAGGATCATGGGACTTAGTAAGTAAGGTTGTAAGTCCCTTAATTGGGGTTCTAAGCATTAGTTACCCTAATTATTATAACCCTGCTTACTAAGTCCCATGATCCTTTAAGCCCTAAACCCTAAACCCTAAACCCTAAACCCACTTACTAAGTCCCATGATCCTTTAAGTAAACCCTTATCGCAACCCGTAAGGTCGCCCCAGTGCGTCTCATCCCAACACTTCTGGGCACTTCGTTCGGCTTGGGTGCTAGGCGTACCTGTTTAGGGGCTTTAGGGTTTCAGGCTTGTTTCACGGCTTAAGGGTTTTAGGGTTCAGGGCTTTCGGTTAGAAGTGATTACATAAGAGCTTCGTAAGAAGGAAGCCTACACATGTAGGCCCTTTTGGGCACGCAGGGTTTGGGGTCTCGGCATTGAGCGGTGAAAGCAGGCCCGCGGATTTTGGATTTAGGGTTTGGATTTTAGTTTTTAAAGGATCATGGGGCTTAGTAAGTAGGGTTATAATTAGGGTTGCAAATGCTCACAGAGCATACCTGG